TGAGAAACTGGTCTCCTCTGTCCCCAGACGTCTGTTGAGTGTTGTAAGAAGAAGGGGGGATGCCACACAGTGGTAAAAATGGACTTGTCCCAACTTTTTTGGGGATTTGTTGACGCCATGAAATTTGGAAACAACATATTTTTCCCTTAAAATGATACATTCTCTCAGTTTAAACTTTTGATCTGTGATTTGTGTTCTATTCTGAATAAAATATTAGATGTTGGCACCTCCACATCATTGCATTCAGTTTTTATTCACAATTTGTTTAGTGTCCCAACTTTTTTGGAATCCGGTTTGTAATTTTGATCTTGATTTGTGACCTTGAAGCTGTGGTGATGAAAAGTGTACGTAACACTCCATCTTGTGATGACTCATAAGTGAATGAAGTTTTGCTGAATTATCTTGAGCGGCCCAGAAGTTATGGGTAGAGCTGAAGTTTAGGAGCGTATAAAAATGATGTGGTCTTTACCAGGTTCTGAAATCATTTAAATCTAACTTAAAGTGTACAAAAACACACAAATGACTCCATTATATTATGACATTAAAATTGAGCCATTGCGTGTGAAAAACTAGTAGAATGGGAGGCATAGCTTGCAGTTATCAGGCTCCTCTCTTATGGAACCAACTTCCAGTATCTGTCCGAGAGGCTGACAGGCTTTGAACACTGTGGCTTATACAACGCTGCCGTTAATTTATGGATTGTTTTTTTTGGACAAGCTAACAAGCTTCATGTCGCCAACACATTTAGCCTCGTCACACCCGGGTGCTCACATAGCTGCTCAATACACATCTCTCTTGGGCGGTGGGTCCTCTGACTCAATAAAAAGGTAAAAAACTAACAAAAAAAAAAAAATCTGACCAATAAAATTATTGAACATGTCGCAGTGGACCAATGAAATTTGGTTCCATTGGTCCACTGGGCCGGTTCAAATCCCAGTCCGGGAGCCTTTCTGGGTGGAGTTTGCATGTTCTCTCCGTGTATCCGTGGGTTTTCTCCAGGTACTCCAGTTTCCTCCCACAGACCAAAAACATGCATGTTAGACTTATTGGTAACTCTAAATTGTCTCTAGGTGTGAGTGAGAGAGTGAATGGTTGTCTCATTTGTCTCTATGTGTCCCTGTGATGGACTGGAGACCTGTCCAGGGTGTACCCCACCCCTCGCCCAGTGATTGCTGGACATGGGCACCGGCGACCCCCGTGACCCAAAGTGGAAAAAGCAGGTATAAGATAATGGATGGATGGTCCACTGGGGAGGGGGGATGGAAGGGGAGTTTCCCCCCCTCCTTGTGCCCTCAGGGACATGGGAAACGTTTCACTTTTTAATGGAATTACTGAAATAAATCAACTTTTTCATGATATTCTAATTTTATGACCAGCACCTGTATATGTACAGATTTCTTTTTAAATTTAGTGGGCACGGCTTATATTCAGGCGCACTCAATATTATGGAAATACTGTTTCAGAACCAGTTTTGGTTTGTTGTTGCACTTTGGCAAAGTTGTGTTGCTACAATATTTACAGGCGGTAAAAGTTTCCTTCTGGCAAACCTTCCAATCAAGAATCCAATCACTTTTCAAGACTTTTTGTGTTAGTATTCCCCATGACTATGAACTATTATTAAATCTTGAGCTTCCAAAGCAGCAGTAAAAGTTTCCAGTAATGTGTTTTGTGAGGGATTTCCCTGAAGGTCTTACCTGGTTAAACGCAGAGGCTGATAGTGCTCACTTAACTTCCTGAAACACAAAAACACCAGCGCCAGGCTGTTTATGTGGTTTTACAGCAGAAAGGAAAACAATCCTCCCAACACTTTTAATGAATATAAACAAACTTTCACTCTTCGTAGATAAATCACCAGGGATTGAAGAACTAAACAACTTTTATGTAAAGTAAAATTGGCTAAACAAGCTGTGAGAAGACGCCATTTTATTCAGCTTTACAATATGAGCTTAAAGGCAATTCAGTGTTAAAAGTTGGTGAATTTTGCGACAGAATGTAACGGAAGTTACAAATGATGTAATGTTTATTACCGTAAAGTGTTTACCTGGCTAATGGGTTTTTAGCAGCCTAATGGAAGAAAACCTGCACGCTACGAAGAAATAAGTTTTGCCAACAAGAGCAAACAACAAGGCAGCGGGTCTAATACTGCAAAGAATAGCTCTCGGAAAAGTCTCCCACCGAACAAGGTTTCACTTAACGAATTAAAAACATACAATTTTTTGACAACCATATGCTCAACGTTTCAGCACTCACCCAGTTACAACGGGCGCCATCTTCCAAATCACTCCCCTTACGGGGAAAAAAAATCCAACAATCGCGAGATTCCTCCCCCCGAGCTTTTACCGAAGCTAACCGTGTGTGCGTGTGTGTGTAAGGGGCGGGGGGGACACGGTGTTTTTCTGTCGGGCAAAGGAGTGAGAAGAACGGATAAGGGGGAGCTCAACAGAGGGGCACTCGCCAAAACAACCACCGTGGGAAAGTTGTGAAATCTCGCGAGAATATAAAAACTCTCACTGTAGACATGAATGGAAAGTACCCGGAAGTATCGCGAGATCACAAGAAACGGTAAGTGGGAGTTTTTTTTCCTCCCTCGTAGGCTTTTACAGGTTCCCACGCCTTATTGCGCAAGACTGCACTTTTGACACAACGGTATATACGGTGCGTGCATACTGCTGTATAATCAATATAATTTAACCCCGGGAAAAACATTGCAAAACACAAGAACTTAACAGCAGAATAATTCTGAATGATCTTTAATAAAGAATCTAATCTTTGAACGATGGATATATTATTTACATGTATAAAAATGTTTGACAAAATCAACGTAAGACGGTACAAAATGAGCAACTGTGCCAAAAGTGTTGAGAGCATTAGGTTTGAAAAGGGATTCTCCAATGATGTGTTAGTATTTATTTTAAAAAGATGTGCATGCATGCACTGCTGTGATGAAGGTGGAAAACAAAGATCAATAAACAGCTTAAAATGCCACAATCAAACCACTGCATGTGGAAAAACACAGTAATATACAGATTTCTGGTAAACATGTCAACCAATGGCTGGAAAACATTTGGCTCGACGAAGGTCAATCATTTTTGGAAAAACTGACATAAACCTACGTAAAGGCACATGTCCGATCTATTAAAAAAAGTGTCTGTAAACCTGGTTTAAAAACCATCAACACCCCCTGCCCAGAAATATATGCTTCAGCATTGATTAAAAAAAATTAAACAATAAGCTTGAAAATTTTAAGTCACCTAAAATTAATCATTTTCACTACAAGGGGAAAAAAACGTCTGAGGAGGGCAAACATTATTAAAATCCTTAAACCAACACGGGAAAATGAAGGAGGAGCTACAGCAGATGATTATTAGAAATCAACATTTTAGTAGGACACAACTAAAGTGGCAGCAGGTTTTACCTCAAAAGTCAAAGGAAGTCAAAAGGGGCTTCTTAAACAAATGCAACAACCCACCTTTGTAGTGTTTCATATAATTAAAAGAGAAAGAAACAATTCAGTTTTCATTGTTGTAAAATTCACCTGAGTCAGAAATGAACGATTAAGGTTTGGCACATGACTGGTTGTTAAAGGAGAAAAACAAGGGAAAAAAAGTGCATTTTGAAAGGAAAATCCAAACTTTCCAAGTGTTTTTAGATCACATCTCCAGCAACTCTGAGGTAAACAATGTCTGCATTTGCTGTGCATCATTTAGGCGCCTCGTCCTTTAAATTTTCCAGAAAACCCTCTTTCTGTAGAGTATGTAGGAGATGAGGACCCAACAGGACGTGGCTACAAGGTTCTGGGTGAGGTGCTCCGTGTGCGACTGGCTGTCGGCCATGCGCCAGCGGAAAGGAAAGTACTCCCTGAACACTTCATGGCCCGTGTACACCAGGATGGAGTTCATGCCTGAAAATTAGACACACAGTCAAAACTCAGGGGTTTGCTCATTCTTCACTCACAGAAGAGTTCATTTACTGTAAGTCTTACAGGGCTGTGTGTGGTGAAAACACTCACCAGGGTAGTAGAAAGGTGCCCCAGACCACCACTTCTTCACATCGACTGTGTAGTAGATCAGCACCAACAGCACGAAGGCAAAACAAGCCAAGGTTGTCACGTAGGACAGCGACCTTAAGGTGAAAAAAAATAATTAATGCTCTAGACCAAATATTTGTCAGCTTCTTTACATTTCAATGAGTTTCAATTCATCCAAAGATAAAGCTACTTTTAACGTAGCCACAAGACCACAACGTGAAAAGGCAAAACTGTTTATACTTTAAATACAAACTCAAATCCCTTTAAACCTAGTTTCATTTATTTTAAAGTGTATGCCTTCTCTTTTGCATTACATATAACATTTTGTTATTAATTATTGTACACGCTGACTATATATTTTTAACCATGTGTATGATAAAACATCCACCAAAGAAGGAAAATAAAATAAAAGGTATGGCATTTAGATACAAACCGGATTCCAAAAAAGTTGGGACACAAAACAAATTGTGAATAAAAACTGAATGCAATGATGTGGAGGTGCCAACATCTAATATTTTATTCAGAATAGAACACAAATCACAGATCAAAAGTTTAAACTGAGAGAATGTATCACTTTAAGGGAAAAATATGTTGTTTCCAAATTTCATGGCGTCAACAAATCCCAAAAAAGTTGGGACAAGTCCATTTTTACCACTCTGTGGCATCCCCCCTTCTTCTTACAACACTCAACAGACGTCTGGGGACAGAGGAGACCAGTTTCTCACGTTTAGAAATAGGAATGCTCTCCCATTCATGTCTAACACAGGCCTCTAACTGTTCAGTCGTCTTGGGCCTTCTTTGTCGCACCTTCCTCTTTATGATGCGCCAAATGTTCTCTATAGGTGAAAGATCTGGACTGCAGGCTGGCCATTTCATTACCCGGATCCTTCTCCTACGTAGCCATGATGTTGTGATTGCTGCAGAATGTGGTCTGGCATTATCGTGTTGAAAAATGCAGGGTCTTCCCTGAAAGAGATGACGTCTAGATGGGAGCATATGTTGTTCTAGAACCTGAACATAGTTCTCTGCATTAATGGTGCCTGTCCAGACATGCAAGCTGCCCATGCCACAAGCGCTCATGCAACCCCAT